ATCCTAATCTCAGCCCCCCCCCCAGTGTGATCCTAGTCTCAGACTCTGTTCCATCTGAACATCAGTTCCTATCAGTCTCAGACTGTACCACTCCAGGTCAGCACTGCCCCCGGAGGTCAGCACTGACCCCGGAGGTCAGCACTGACCCCGGAGGTCAAACCTTAAAACAACAGTCAAACAGGAAACATTTCCATTAGAAATACAAGTGGTGATGATGTCATCGGCGTACGAGTCGTTTCTCTCTGAAACCACAACAGTTAGAAGTGTCTGTGATTCAGAACCAAACATCTGAGGTTCTGGTTCTGGGACTGACTCTGGGTTTGAGTGTCTGGTTAGAAATACATTTTTGCCACAAGGGGCGCTGTTGCCACCACACTGCAGCACTAAAACCACAGTTAGACACTAGCTCAAACACACGCTAGCATTTACTAACACACCCGGCATGACAGTGAGCTGTAGGACCAGAGAGCAGGACGTCAGGATTGGGTTTATGGACTAATGGCTTGAATCTGGTCCGGCTGAATCAACAATGAACAGCTGTGGAAAAATCTGGGATTGGATTTATTTGTGCATGTGTTTGACAGGAAGTCCCGCCCCTTTTTTTTCCATTTCAGTGTCACCGTACAAGAGTCCTCAGAACCTGCACACCTCAGAACCCACCAGGAACAGTTTCCGAGTGTCCTGGGATCCAGCACCAGGTGACGTCCGAGGATACAAAGTGACCTTCCATCCCATTGGGAATGACGTGGACCTAGGGGAGCTCATGGTCGGACCCTACGACAACACCGTGGTTCTGGAGGAGCTGAGGTAACGCTTCCTCCACCCAGGATAACAGCTAACTTTTAGCTATGACCTTCTAGGCTATCTTGGCTAAATGTAAGCTAGGTGGTTAACGGTTAGCTGAAGTGAACATTTTGACTCTATGGTCTGTAATTATTTCTAGATACCTGTTTTTGTATTGTTCTGTTCTGAACTTTTCTGAACCTTAACTTTTGTGCTGACGCCCAGTTTTGGACGTTTTTCTGGACTCGTACAGATTCAACTCCAAACGGACTCTAAAACTAGAGTTCTTCTGGAATAACGTTGATCTGTGTTTGTCATATTTTTGAAATGCTAAAGGCTAGCTGGTCTTGTCCAGGTCACACTTGCGTTGTTCACATTTCCGTGCCTTTTGTTGACGTCAGCGTCTGTTGTGGTCTGTGCTCAGGGCTGGAACCACGTACACGGTGAATGTGAGTGGGATGTTTGACGGGGGGGAGAGTGTCCCCGTGGCTGGGAAGGAGAAGACCACGCTGTCGGAGCCTCCAGAGCCCCCTCCTATGGACTCATCTGGTAAAAACTGACAAGGCCCCCTCCTCATTTCCTCCTCATTAGCCCCCCCCCCCCAAGATCCAGTAGCCCCGCCCGGCCCGGCAGATGTGGTGTGGTTCTAGTCACAGCATAAAGAATCCATAGCTAAAGGCTAAAGGCTAAAGGCTAAAGGCTGCTGCTGCTGCTGCTGCTGCTGCTGCTGCTGCTGCTGCTCATCCACAGTGAATGTTGGAGTGTTCTGTGTCCTAACCTGTTTGCACTCGTCAGATTTGAGGTGGTCGTCTTGAAAAAGAGAACAAGTGGACCCCCCCTCGTCTCCGTCCCCCCCCCCCCCCCCCCACCATGCAGCAGGGAAGTGTGGGGTTGTATATTACCGCT